TGTCATTTCCATGAAGATTCTTGAAACTACAGACGGGACCATGGGAGCTGGTCCCAGTCCCAGTCCGCTGTTCCCACCAAGGAGTCCAGCCTGAGCAGGGCACGCAAGCATTTCTGGACGGCCTTGTTCATGTTGTTCATTTTGGGTTCGCCCAAAACGATGACCAGCCTTGTTCATGTTGTTCATTTTGTCATTTCAATGAAGATTCTTGAAACTACAGACGGGACCATGGGAGCTGGTCCCAGTCCCAGTCCGTTGTTCATTTTGTCATTTCGATGAAGATTCTTGCAACACCGGCCTTGTTCATGCTGCAGCATTGTTCATGTTGTTCATTTTGTCATTGCCATGAAGATTCTTGAAACTACAGACGGGACCATGGGAGCTGGTCCCAGTCCCAATCCGCTGTTCCCACCAAGGAGTCCAGCCTGAGGAGGGCACACAAGCATTTCTGTACGTCTCGTTCAGTCCAGGTATTGCTTAGAACTGTAGTGTTCTACCATTGCCAGTTATGTTCAATGCTGCTGTGAGTGAAACTAGTCGAAGGAGGATTATATTATGTGCTCAGTCTGTGTATATGTTGTTGATACCGCTTGAATGGTAGCCTAGGTGACTTGTCGTTATTTTTATTTATTTTTCAAACCGGCCAGACACATGTTGTGGTAGGCCCTAATGAGGGCACTAGTGTAGACAGTGTCTGCCTAGCTGATGAGCGGATCAGATAGTGGTGAAGGGACAACTGACGATAGGAGGCAAACACGGTGTCTGTTAGGTGTTAGCAGTCTGTACACCAACTAATAAAAATAAAAATAAAACATGTGCGGAGATGTATGCGCAATGGAAATAATTGTGATTGTAATTGAGCTCCAATTGGAACCTTCCTTCCCCTGCATCCAACGTGCTTGTCCGCATCATCAAGCAACAGTGTCTAAGATATGCATTAACGGCCCACCCCTGTGGCCAGGAACCCGCTTATGACCAGCACTGCCCTTTGTTTATCCTCGCGAGCAACGACGACTGATCTGGCTGATCAAGAGGCAGTTTAAGGACAGGCCCCAAGGTCCTCAGGAATTATTTAACGTCGCAATCAGGACGACGATCACAGCCCGTATTCAGAACAGATCCCTGCAAGAAATATTTATAGACGGTCTGGTAAGCATTTGCATAGGACTGGACAGTCCACGTTCCCTCTATTGGCGCAGCAAGGAGCTTCAAAGGACAAAGCAGCATCGCCTCCGTGTACTATTCCCATGGGATGGCATGGTGACCGTGACCCGTGCTTCGACCAGGGCCCTTCAGAGGCACCGCCCTCTCCTGCCAGATGCGCCACCAGGATGAATGTTGACTCTCAAAGTAGAGCGCTCACGGCCCCTTAACCAAAAGAGACACTCAAGTTGGACTCACGGTAAGAAGAGATTGAGAGGGAAGATAACGTAAGGGAACAATGTACCTGATGATAGCTGCACCCAACCACAAATTTCTCACCGATTGAGCCGACATGCATTTCGATTACCGGTCGTAGCCTCGGTACCACCCACAGCGCAATGCAGCGCCACCTCAGCCAAAATGCCACATCAGCATGCTCTCATCATCACACATACACCTGCTGTCGCCACAACTCCCATGGTGTGCCACCGCCTTCCGGCAATGCACCCCTCTACCCAGGTGTTGCCCAATCATGCAGCGCCAATGTATCCTTACTGCGTAGAAGCATCATCAACGCACCAAGTAACATTGTCGCCAGCGCCAAGTAATGGCGAACTCGAACCAGCTCTCATACCAACTTGCAAGGAATATGAGTGAGAGTGATAGACAAGAAACCAAGTTGCAAAATCAAGCAGAACTCCAGAGAGTCATGTACAAAGCAGAGAGCTCAAATGCACCAAGATTCCATACAAACAAGAGCAAAACAGTGAACTCGTGTGCCAATGTTATCGCCCTCAAGCCCCATCAACACAATATCCAATGTCGCTCATCTGTGTCTGGCGCCCAGCGCCCAGCCTACTCTACTGAGCCTATCTAGCCTATCTACATTCGTGCAATAGGATCACCTCCGACGTTGAAGACCAATGTACATGACGTCAACACCAATGTCGACCTTCCACATACACCAGGTACGTTCTCTCTACTCCCCTCATCAGACCCTGACGACCCCCTCATTCGCCTCTTACCCCAAGACCCCCGTCGCCCATCACCCGCATGCGCCCTTTGCAGCCCCGTTATGGCTGTGTGCGCCCGCTGCCCTTAGTGCCCCTCTCACCTCATAGCGTCCGTGCGCGCCCTGGCCAGCAGCCCTCATACAGATGCTTGCGCAGCAGCAGCAGCAGTGTATCCGCATTGCCTGCCTGGGCCAGCATGCCCACCTCTGGCCAACCTCCTCCCTATAGCAGCCCTCATACAGATGCTTGCGCAGCAGCAGCAGC